TTTGGAATGTTTCTACCTCGACCTCTTTGCTAACAATCAACAAAAAACTTAAATACTGATCACGTTATTTAATGTTATACCAAATCTTAAATCCTTATTGGTCAATCATGTTTTTGCCAAATCAAATCGATATTTTTCTATGTTCCTGTTGCAGAAAAGCCCCTAGCTGTCTCACAAAATTTTTTCACCTCTGTAATTTTGACTAAATTTTAAAATCAGGTGTAATATAAAAATTGAAATAGACAAAAAAACAGGAATACTCTAAAATTTTATTAGGAAACCATCTTCTGCGGTCTAATTAAAAATATTCTTCGTGAAATTCTACTAATAACCATTATATATTTCTAACTATAACCTTAACTATAATGTGGTTTTCTTAGATTTAATTTTACACGCATTTTTATTTAGAAAACAAAACATTTTTGTTTTAACTATCATGTTACACCTGATCTTAAATTTTGATTGGTCAAAATTTTAGGGTGGAAAAAATTTTGTGAAAAGAATGTACTAAACTAAATTCGGTAAATAGAACACATTTTTCAAACCTTGATCAAGAGTTAACTTGTTAGTAAGAAGAGTATATATAGTAAGCTTGCACGTATATGTTTATGGTGTGATTATTGTTTAAAGCAGATCATTTTCGATACATTCTTAAAATTGACAGTTTTTTTCTTGTGATAAATAACCTGAGTAATTTAAGCATGTTTTTTTGACCAAAAAAATTATGAATTTTCTCAGCAAAAAAGGAGTGATAATAACTCAAAATAAAAAGATAAAAAACAAGACTAGTTTTATTTTTAAGTTTTAAGAAATCTTAAAAAAAATTAAAATGCTTTCTGAGTTCGTTGTAGTTGAAGTTCGTATCGAAAAAACAACTTATATAAAGAGTCTAATATTGGAAGTAGATATTGTTGAAATGTTGAGAAGTTCCAGTTTTGAAGTAATTCATATTAGGGTGAGTTTTTTCACTAAGTATTGTTGAGTTATCATATGGAGTGTTATCTATTAAAACAGCACTTTTTTACATAAATTTTATTTTGAGATAATTGAGTTTAATCATTTGGTTTGATTTTTGAACTGATCTGGGATTAATCAAATTTCACAA